TTTCTGGTAGCTTTCGGCATTCATCTTGCCATCTATTATTGATATTCTGCTAACACCTTTTGCAGAAAAACAGCCCCAGATCATGATACTGCCACCACCAAACTTTACAGTTGGCAACGTGTTCTTTGGTAAGTAGGCTTCACCGTCCTTCCTCCACACATGATTTCGATAATTATGACCAAACAACTCTATTTTAGTTTCATCTGTCCATAGTACTTTTCCCCAAAACGAATTTCTTTATCCTTATGCTCTCTAACGAATTTTAGCCTAGCATCTCAATAGGAGTGGAGTCTTCCTTGGGATGCCTGATTTCAGACTGTTTTTTGTGTAGTGCATTACTTATTGTACGCTTGGTTACTTTAATCCCTAATGCACGCAGTTGTTCCTGCAGCTCTTCTCGGGTAACCTGTGGATTTTCTTGGATCTGGCGTCCTAATATCCTTGCTGATCTTAGAGAAATCTTCTTCGAAGCACCTGTTCGTCTTTGGTTTTCGACGCTGTTACGAGTTTTAAACCTTGCAATAAACGAAGCAGTTGTAGTAAAAGGAATATTCAGGTTGTTAGAAATCGTTCTGTAACTGTTCCCATCTTTCCAAAGAGACAGAATGTGTTGTTTTTGTGAAACAGTCAATTCTTTACCTTTTGGCATTATTAGAACCTTCTCGTAAGATTAGAAATTGCAGAATGCTCTGATAATAGCTAATAGCGTTAACTATAATTACTGATAATATTACTGGAACATCCAAGAATTTTTTTTTTCATAATTAATTGATTATTTTATTCTAAAAATTGATTTGTACGAATACTTTTTTCACAAGTTAGAATTTAAAAAATGCATTAATTTCTGTTAAAATAAAAATTAATCAATTTTATTATTATTTTTTAATAGTATGTGTCTTTATGCATAGAATGTGCCAAGATTTGTTTTATTTAAGGCTTTTACGTTTATAAAAATACAATTTTCATGTGTACGAATATTTATTTCCCCCACTGTGTATATATATATATATATATATATATATATATATATATATATATATATATATATATATATATAAAACCAGAATTGTTTTTGACATATTGAAAACTTTGGAAAGGAAAAAGTCTGGGATATTTTGTAGTAAAATATACAAAGGATTGTTTTTTAAATCCTCTGTGAGCAAACGAAAAGTTTGCGAAAATGAGTTTAATTTTTTAAATCTTTTATTAGCTTTCTGTGCCATGAACACGAAGGCAAAACCATCACACTGAGATTAATGGCCCTAACGCCGATTTTTATTTTTTATTTTTTTTTTTTTTTGCGGTTTAAAGTTTTTCAAGGCTTATGTCAGGGCGTGGTTCTTCTTCAAATGACATTTTACAACATTTGAAATGTGAATACAATTTAGAAATTTGTTGTTTTTTTTTTTAAAACTTCTTTCAAAAAGCTCCCCGACGTATTATAACAGTTTTACCAGCCGATGACAAGTTTGAACAACGGTTGTCTCATAGATTTATGCATTTAAATTAAATCTAGCTACATAGGGCGCCTATCGTAGTGCAGCGCTGAACATGTCTATGTTAAAAATCGTGTCGTGGGTTCTATCCTCACGAAATACCCAATACTCGAATAAAATATATATCACTCTTGTCATGAAGTAATTGTTCGAAAATTATGCTTGGCGCTACGTACTGCACCGTCTCAATCCCTGGGAGACCATCCTTCAGAGTCGTCCTGGGCATGACGATAAATTACGTCCAGCAGCAAGGACTCTGAGCAGGAGGTTTTGAGGAGCGTCGAACCACCTTTTAATTGCTGGTGTTCCCAGGTCCACTCTGAACCGGGGTGGTGGCACCTGTTAGGGTTTCAGCTATAGGTAAATAGTTAACTCCGAAACTCTTATTTAGTACTTCTCAGTTATTTCTCGCTCCGTTTTCAGTATCCTAGTACGCACTGCCCGGACCAGGGATTGAACTCACGAAATTTATAAACTAACTCTTTAATCCACTGTTGTCTCGTAGAATACCCTGATCAACATTCACCTGATGAAAGGCGGAGATCACACCAGCCGAAACGTAGTGGTAACAACAAAGTCCGCATGCAAATAAGGATAACTTCTTATCCCAGAAATTCGAACAGAAATAACCCCATCTTTTTTCTGAATTTTTGATCCCTTGGATATAAAGTTCTTTAGGTTTTTATACAATGATGTATTCAGTATCACTTTTGACCTATTAAAATTAATGAACTGTTTTGCACTCACCACGCAATAGATATTGCAATAATCTGAGATGATGATAAACAGATGGAGCATGGTCAGGCAAGAAAGGAGAATGAGGAAAAATTTCCATATTGAATTCTCTAATCTCTTTCTGGATAACTCGAGCAATATGTAGTAGTACAGTAGCGTGTAAAAGCATTACACCTTTACAACTAACCAATGATGTCCATTTTTTCTGTAAATTCGTGTGCAGCATTTCCAGTTCAAATACTAGTACTCCTTATTAACCGTTTCGTTTTTGTTCGTTATCTATGATAGACGACACTCTTTATAACCCTACAAGCACAAAGCATAATTTTCTTAGGATGTCGTCCTGGTCTGGAAATGGATTTTTCTTTATCAGTGGGTGCTAACCATTGTCGTCTTCATTAGATAGGATTACAGAGAACCCACTTGTAATAACTGCTGATGATTCCAGAAAAGTGGAGGTAGCAAGTCTTCAATGACGAACAGACTTTTTAAGCTAAAATGCAGACAGATGATGAGAGGCTCATTAATCAAAGTTTTTACACTTTTTAGACTTCATGATGGAGTTTTATAATTAAAGTATGACTTATATTCTGTTTTATTAATTCTCGAGCAGTATTGTCTTTAATTACGGGTCGGAAAAACTTAATATTGACAGAAACTGACCCTCCAGGAGAGGATCATCGATAGACATGTTTTCCCATCGAAATTTGCCAAACTATCGTTGGTATGTCCTGACTCTTAAAACTTCCCTGTCCATAGATAGAAGAAATATTCTTGTTGGTTACATTACTGAAGAGCTCTTTTTGAATTCATTGTCTGAGATGGGGTGGGATATAAGACCATTTTAAAAGGCTAAAATCGATACAAAAGTAATCCCCCTGCAAGAAAAGACAAACATTAGGATGTAAAAATAAATTTTTTATCGTAATTATTGAAAAAGAAATCAAATAAAAAATGCGACAGGAATTCATTCTTTTTTGTATTTCATTTTTGAAGATGAATTGTCAATATAATTTATACTACGTTTTTTTTTTAAACATTTCACCCCAAGCAAGGTAGGAGTGCCACAATTCCGAAATGGGCTACAGAGTGTGTAAGTAAGAGAAAAGACTGGCTATGTGGGGGGGGATAAAAAGAAGAACGGAGAAGGATAAAAAGAAGATGTCGATTGACATTACATTTAAATTTTAGAAGATTATAGTTATTAGGGAAGCAAGTAAACGGGAGGAAGTTCCACTGTCGGGAAGTGCAAGAGAAGAAGCTGTTGGAGGAGAAGAGGCAGTTACATTTCTGTTTCAACAGTAAAAGTCTGGGATCGAGATGCATACCTACGACCACGCTTAAATTTATGTAGTCAGGGCAATATTGAAAATAACTCGTCAGAACTGATGGCCATGAAAACATTTATAGAAAAGACTGAGTGAAGCCACATTACGTCGGTGAGAATGTGACCGAAACCATTGCAGATCCGTCTTTGGATTTTGTCGAGAACCTCCAGATGAACAGCGAGGGCACCAGACCACATATGGCAACAGTATTCCATGCATAGATTTGTAGATGTGAAAGAAGGAAAAACCTTCTGGCGCAACATAAAGAACCAACTTTCCTTGCTGATAGGAGACAGGAAAGTTTCCAATGGTGGTTAAATGACAGCAGTTTCGTTTTGGATGTATTAAAATTAACAGGCAATTTCCTGTCCCAGTCAACTTGAAATTTATAATGAAATTCAAAATAATCAAAAAACGCTACGAATCCGCAATGATAACAAAATGTTGACATTGAATATAAAAGGCTCCAAAAATAGACCATTGATGTCCTTCAGGAAATTAGAGAAGTGGAAATCGGAGTTGGTCAAACAGGCGTTACTGTTATTTGGCGGTTTTCTGTTCAAACTTAATGCTTATTCAATTAAAGATTTCGAACTATTAAAGATATGAAATAAGCATAATTAGTGGGTCAACGATGAATGATTGAATTGTTGATCCATTAATGTGGATAATACGACACTAAAACCAAGTGTTATTCGGCAAGGTATATGGAAATTAATAGTTTTGTAGAGTGTGTCACTCATAGGATATGGTCAGGCATTTTTGCAAAATAAACAATTTAAAATATTTCAAGATACGCAATTTTTACATTTTGGAAATTTCTTGTAAGATTTGATTTTTAATATTTTATTATCTATTTAATTCCAATGTCAATGATCGTTCTTTTTCATCATGAAAAAAAATTTAGTTTGGTAAGCAAAATCTTGTTGCTGTTCGTCTTATAATCATCGCCATTGTGAAGATGTTTTTCATTTTTATATTTCGGTTGAATATCACTGCAAATGTCAATTGTTTATCTGGCGAAAAGGGTAAGATTTTCAAACAACATATTCACTAGCTAAAAATCAAAATACATAAAAGATGTTTGTTATGTCGCATTGAACTTTCTAGAAACCATCCATGCGTTTTCAAACACAAGCTCATATTTGTGAAATCCTCACGAACTACAAACACTTATCATGCGCGAAAAATGACCGGATGCCAAGAAAAATCCCGGCAAACGTATCATCTCACGTGAATGACATTTGAATTCGGCCACCCGGCAAGGCGTTGAATCTTTGTATAGATACTGGAGATTGGGAAGAAAGTTAGCAAATGCTAGTGGCGTATGAATTAATGAACTCGTAGAATATATACCATTTTTTTTTTCTTTGTTTTGGTGAAGAAACACAAAACTAATTTATCCTTTTATGTCTCTCTCCTTTTATTTTGTTTCTTTCCCATGTCCTTTTTCTATTTTCTCTCCATCCATGTTTTTTCTCGGCTTCTTTCCCGCCTACGGTTCGCTTTTTTGTTTACGTTTCACAATGTTTTCACGTATCGTTGCCTCCCCCCCCACACTTATACATATTCACCCTCTCACCCTCTAATACACTTACTCGATTTTTCTTTGAATCTCATCACTGTTCGCTTTCTTTTTCTCTTTTATAGTATCTGCTTTATTGCTTATGTGTGTTTCTATTTGCCAATCTCGCCGTGTCTATCGTACTTCTCTCTCTCTCTCTATTTCCTTATTTTATCTAAATCCCTGTGTTTATCATGTTTCTATGTGTGTCTGTCGGTCTGTCTGTGTGTCTCTCTGTGTTTCGGTGTTTTTCTCTATTTCTCTTCTTATCTATCCCTCTGTGTTTATCATAGTTTCCTGTCGCTGTTTCTCTCTCTTTTGTATCTTCTTTTCTGCTATTTTCTCTCTATCTTCTTGTGTCAGTCTTTGTTTTCTGTCTCTGTTTTTCTCTCTCTCCTTCTCAATTCTGTCTACTTATTCACTTTTTCTCTCTATTTTCTACCTGTGTATCTCTCTATATGTATCTTAGTCTTCTCTCGCGGCCTCTCTCTTTTGTGTATTCTCCACATTTTTCTCTTTATTTTTCTACTTGTATATCTCATGGTACTTATCTTAGATTTATATTCCTAGTTATCTCTCTCTTTTATGTCTTCTCTCTTATTTCACTACATTCTTCTCTCTGTGTTTATCTGAGTCTTCTCTCTATGTTTCTTTCTCTCTACCCCCTCTCTCTCTATCTTTTGTATCTTCTTCTGTTTAATTTTTTCTCTCTATTTCCTACCTGTCTATCTCTCTGGGTTTATCATAGATTTCTGTCTCTGTCTGTCTCTCTTTTATATTTTTTCCTCTCTAAGTTTATCTTACGTTTCTCTCTGTATTTCTTTCTGTTTCTCTTTCTCTTTTGTGCCCTCTTCATTTTTCTCTTTGTTTTTCTATCTCACCTTGTTTATCTTTTTCTGTCTCTGTTTTTTTCTCTCTCTCTCTCTCTCCTTTGTGCCTTCTACACTTTTTTCTTTCTTTTTACCTGTCTGTGTTTTTTTTCTTCTCTCTAATTCTGTCTCTTACTCTTGTGTGTCTGCTTCACTTTTAGTCTTTATTTTCCTACCCGCCACCCTCTCTATGTTTATCTTTGTTTTCTGTCTCTGTTTTTCTCTCTATATATCCTTTTCCTTGTGTGTACTTCTCTCCTTCTTTCTATATCTTTCTATCTCACCGTGTCCCTCTCTTTGCCAGTCTTTGTTTATTTCGTTTTATTTCATGTATGTATGTCTCTCTTTGCCTATAGTTCTCTTTCTCTTTTCATATGAGCTTAAATGTGACACAAGGCCGAAAATATGGGGTACCCAGTGAGGATAAAACTTATTATCCAGTCGTAATTGTCACTGTGAGACAAGCTTGCTAACCATTACACCACGCAGAGGTGCCCTTGTCTCTCTTTATGTCTTCATTTCTATTTTCCTCTCTATATTCCGGCCTATCTTTCTGCGTCTAATATAGTTATTTTCTCTCTCTCTCTCTTTATGTGTCTTCTTCTATGCTTTTTTCTCTTTATTTTTCTGTCTGTTTATCTCTCTGTGTCTATCATTGTTTTCTTTGTCTCTGTCGCTAAATTACACACCTACCACATTTAAAATAAAAAAGTAGGAGAAAAACGAAATGGAATAAAAAGATATTTTTTTAATAAACCAAACAATTAAAATATGTTTGCAGCTCGTGAACTAGCCAGAGTAAAAACTGCCAAATATTAGTTATTCTTAAAGGTAAATATCAAGAGAGTGTTGTCATCAGCAAGAGTTTACACACCTTTTCTTGATCGATGGAAACGCACTACAGGTGGAAATTACTTGGGCCATTACTTTTTTATACAATTTTCCTGAAGGTTTTTGTAGACAACAATCTTTCATCAGGATAATGCACCTGCACATTACTCATGTGTCGTCAGAGAATAAATAAAAAATTACCAAATCGCCATCTTGGTAGAAAGGAATCACTGATTTGAACAGGAAAGTCCCCTGGTATCACGCGTCAAGTTTGTTAATGTTTGAACCCATATCTACAATACAATTTATGACTGAAAACGCAAAACCTTCCCGGATTAAAAGCATTTTATTGCAGGGACCGGTTCGATAAACATGTCAAAATTTAATTCGAAGTTTTTGTAAAAAAAAATGTAAATTTTTCATTGATAATTTACGGCTAATCTTAGAAACATCCAACGTTTTGGCCTTTCTGTTCTCCAGTCTTCTTTAGGTGACAGTTGTTCCCAGTAACCTTTTAAAATAACGAATTGGACTCTTTAATTTATGGTTCTTGTTCAACTGTCCATGTCTACGGATTTCTTTCTTGTTCTTTTTAGTACTGCCCAGGTAATTGTTTTAGTAATGACGATAAACTGTACCTGGTAACAAAACTTCTGATATGGGGGGGGTGAGGAGCATGGAACCTCCTCTTAATTGCTGTTGTTCCCATGTCCACCCTGACTCATTGTGGTAGAACCTGCCAGGGTCCCAGCGATGAGCAATTAGTTAACCGTCCAAACTGGTGTCAAAACACCATGAAAGTATAAAAATAGATTTCTATAGTAAAAATACAGTAATACATTTTTTAAAATTACCAGCAATACATTGTTTAAAAAGGAATATTGCCAGCCATACATTTTTGCAAAAAAATATTAGTAACAATGTATTTTTGAAAATAAAATATTACCAGCAATACACTTTTAAAAAATATATTATCAGCGATATATTTTTGAAAAAAAATATTACCAGCAATAAATTTGACTTTCGAAAAAAAACCCTCTTGCTTTTATGTCAAAAACCCTATTTATTACAAAGAATACATATTCTATTTTTACGAATCTATCCTAAACATGTTGCCGGCATTAAAAAACCCATTGACGTTGATATGGCGTAAAACAAGATAAACCAATGAACTACACAATTAAAGTTCGTTCAGTTTCCACTCAGACTCCTTTATAAGTCTTCTTTATATTTTATGCCCTTCAACCATGCCTTCTTTCGTGTTGCGACATAGATTAACTCCCAGAACTTCGCGTGTGTATCGAGTTGCAATATCAAACATTTTGTTTTACTGATTCTTCCTATATTGTTCTTCGTAAGATTGAGCAATCGAAATTCGTCGTTATTAGGGAAGTTGTCTTTGTGATCTTTGAAAGTGAGGAATGCTTCTTTGTCATTTTACCCATTCCATCTACGATGATTAATTTTTCCGCGATTATTTTTCCCTCAGTATTAATGCTTATTCTCCCATTCTGTAGGGATTCTTTTTTTGGTAACTTTTTCTTACCTCATTCCTACAAGGACTTTTTTTTTTTGCAATCATTCGCCCTCGTTTTCTAATAATTGCCGGTTATGTCAGCTGTAATTTTTATCTTATCCGAATTTCTTAATTTGTGGACTTCTTTCATATTCTGTCATTTTTATCATGTTGAGTATTTCCATTTCAAAATAGATCAATCGGTCACCCTGTTGTGTGTGGGTTTGGGGGGTGGATTTTAATCCTTGGGTCCTCTATCTCTTTGTTTATATTTCTTTCTTTTGGATGAAAAAAAATTTCCACCGCATTATTCCTGACGCTTACTATTTTTTGTAATAGTCTAAATAGCTCAATTTAAATGGTTCCATCGTGGCGATCGTTATCTTGTACAGGATAACTCTAAATTCATTTATTTTGATAGTAAAATCCCGGGTAGCTAGTAAGAATAAAAACTAATGTTCAAAATAAGCTAAAAGCTTAAAATATAAAGTAAACTAATGACGCAATACCAAAAGTCGACAGAGTGTTTATATAATATAATAAATATTTTTAATTCAATATTAAAATGCATTACTCAGAGTTCCATAGCGATAATCAGACAGAAAAAATAAGAAAAATGTTCTCATTTAATTTATGTACATCTGGGGTGGCATAAAACTTTTACCCTGGATGTGTATTTTTAATTAAATATTTATTCTTATGCCGGCATGCGTTCACAAGCTCTCGTTTCTTATTCAATTTAAATAATAACATGGTTTCATTTTATTTCTGCTTGATGATTATTATCACATACTCGGAGAAGCGGATGAATTTATATAATATTATTTTAAATGAATTTTTATTATATTATATTAAATTTTTAAATATATATATATATATATATATATATATATATATATATATATATATATATATATATATATATATATATATATATATATATATATATATATATATATATATATATATATATATATATATATATATATATATATATTTTACAAAAAGAAATAATCACACATAGAATCAATCAGAAGTATTAATGCGATTATTGGCGACATCCATCGCTAGAAAACATAATATATGCATTAAAATACTGTTCATCCATGCCTGATGATGAATAGAGGACTATTCGTAAGTACTAGCATTTTAACATCAAATAAACTGAAAACTACAGACAACAAGTTTATCGACGAGGATTAACTCGCACTATGGATGAACAGTATTTTAATGCATATATTATGTTTTCTAGCGATGGATGTCGCCAATAATCGCATTAATACTTGATTGATTCTATGTGATTGTATGTAAATTATATGCTGCCTAATATATATATATATATATATATATATATATATATATATATATATATATATATATATATATATATATATGTGTGTGTGTGTGTGTGTGAAAATATATAGAAATAGGAAATAACTGGTTAGGTAAATAATCCAAAGTCCCTTAGTATTTTTTGTTATTATTTTAAAAAAAATAGTGCTCGATACAAAAGTAGAGCATAAATATAATTATTTATTTAAAATATGATTCCAACTCGCGACATAAGAGGTCTCATGTTTCAAAACAAGAGCCGAAAACTTCAATATAATTATTTGAATTAAATTGAGTTAAAGTAAGCTCTGTTCCATCTTCAAGCGAATTTTTTGTGAATAACTTATTTCTACAAATTTACGTGTTTTAATAGTATATTCATAATTGATATATATATATCTAAAAATCTATTTAATAATATATATATATATATATATATATATATATATATATATATATATATATATATAATATAATCTATTTAATAATATATATATATTATTATTAAATAGATTTTAAAATTACACACACACATATATATATATATATAAATGGCGCAGGATGCCAGTTTGCTAGGGAAGCTAGCTAATCCCCGTTGCAGACGCCAGCTCAGGACATTTAAGTTTGTTTAACACCAACAGAGCCCACCTGTGTTTTATACTGCAATTATGCTGAGCGGAACTTAGTAACAGTTATATAGAGTTTTTCCATTTCGTGTTTCAGCTACCTAAAATTAGTCAATTAGCCCAACATTAGATATATATATTTTATCACATACACATACGCACACCCATCCACACACACACACACACACACACACACACACACACACACACATATATATATATATATATATATATATATATATATAAGCATTCCACCCCCAAGCAAGGCGGGAGGCCACTATCATGTAAGGGGTTACAGAGAGTTGGAGTGAGAGCAAAGAGGAGTGATAGAGGAAAGGATGAAGAGAAGGTTAGGAGATAGATTAGGGCATCTGGAGAGGTCGATTGACATTACATTTGAATAGTTGGAGATTATAGCTATCAGGGTAACAAGAAATGGGGAGGGATATCCACAGGCGAGAAGTGCGAGGCATGAAGCTATTGTAGTAGAAGAGATAGCTACATTTAACAGTTTCGAATTGAAAGGGTGAGAGCGAGATGACAGCCTAGTTGAACGCTTAAATTCATGAAGTCTAGGAACCAGCGAAAGCAGCTAGTAGGAGCAGTTACTGTGATAGTATTTGTAAAAAAGACAAAGGGAGGCAACGGCACGTCTGTGAAAGAGCGATTGCAGACGAAATGCCAGGTCAGGGCCAATTACTTTGCATATCCGTCTTTGGATTTTATCAAGGATCTTGAGACAAACAGAAGGAGCTCCAGACCATATATGGCAGCAATACTCCATGCAAGGGTGAATGGTTGATTTGTAGATTTGAAGGATTGATTCCGGCGAGAAAAAACTTCCTGGTGCGGCACAGGGAGCCAACAGGATGGAGCCTAGGGGAACACCTGCGTTTGTGGGGTAGGAGCTGGAGGAGAATCCGTTGAGAACGACCTTCAATGCACAGTTTGACTGGAATGATTGTCTTAAGTAGAACAATCGTCCTGTAATACCGTATCCCTGAAGCTTACAAAGAAGGCCGGCATGCCAAATCTTATCAAACGCTTTGG